GATTCCCAAATCTCTCCCAATCCCTCTTCCTAAGTTAGATTGGACTTAAGGTTCGGCTACACTCCCCGCAAGCACAAGCAGCCAAGCACACCACAGGTTCTTAACATCCCTTGGTTCAATAAGATTTGATTATGGGACCCTCTAAATCCCAAGCCTTGGGTGCAACACTTGCTTCGGGACGCCAGGGGAAACACCGTGGCCTAATGGCATGGTATGGGTACCTCTACCCCCCCCACTTCCATCCCAAAGGGAAGGCCCAAGCCCCTAGGAAGGGCGAGGACCAATGAGCCACAAGATACTTAAATGGGGGACTACTTCACATGAGCGGGGAGCACTGCAGTCAGTTTCCCTTCCAGGAGTGGGAGCTGCTCTTGAGCACTTCCTTGGGTGGCCCCTTCGGCACCACCCGAGTCCATGCTCACTCCCACGCAAGGCCCCTCAGCCTCAGTCTCAACCTCAATTCATTTTTGAAGCACTACTGAAGAGTTCCTTCAAAACTAGTTTCCACGACCTGTATTAGTATTTGGACTCGGTCTTGGACTCGATCTTGGACTTGATCTCATACTTGATCTCATACTCAACTTCGGATTCGGTCTTGGACTCGATCTCGGACCGGATCTTGGACTTTATCTCGAACTCGGTCTTGGACCCGATCTCGGACTTTGTCTCGGACTCGGTCTCGGACTAGATCTTGGACTCGGTCTCCAACTCAGTCTTAGAGTCGGTCTCGGACTTGATTTCAGTCTCGGTCTCATCCAATGAACTCTTTATCATTTTGGTCATGCTCTCAGGGATCCTTTAGCCTTCGACACTTCAAGGAGTTGATTCCTTATAACTAGATTATGCCTTAGGTTGGTCAACCATACTTAACCTACTCACTATCCCTACTATACATTTAAAACCCCCTATAACCCCCCTTAAGGAATGTATGCTTTGGGCTTTCACCCTTACTCATCTTTAGTATTAGAAGTTAGTCTCTAGGATTAACTCAAGACTTATTAAATATAGAATGGCACTAGATTGTGAATTTAGACATGGGACAAATACCATTGTATTCAAAACAATCTCTACATTCCGTAGATATGCCAAATTAGCAAATCTAAACACTTACCATAAACAATAATTAGGACCAAATAGAACTAATATAAAGTGCATGATAGCGAGGATGTTTGGCAAACATAGTAAGCTATCATCTAGCAATATTGAGGGATTAGTCTCAATACACAAGGGTTATTGTCACTAGCCAGTGAAAAACATAATAAGACAAAAACTTTTTACCAGGCTAAGTATGCTTAGTTAATAACACGTAGGAATTCCATACTTATACTTGTCTGGTTTAAGTATACTCAAAATGCCCAGTTAACTCCATTAGCATAAGAGGGACTGATAAAGGGTCCAAGAATACTAACCTCCTACTATCGTAGCAGTAACGAAAAAATATTTGAAAGAACTAGTCAATAGATAATTTTCGATACCCAAAGTCACATTCATAACAATCATGATATATTTTTTGAAATAGTAAAGACAGAAATGGAGACACATTAGTATTATGGGGAGTATTATAAAAATATCAATTAGAGGCTATGAGTAGCAATATACATGGCAATCCCTCCCTTGCATAAGAATCTAGTTATATTATGTCAAATATAATTAAGTGATAGAGATTTTAATTATACAAGCAGATTTTAGAGGAGTTTCTCTGAGCTCACAAAAATTCTTCTTACACTGATTAGTGATGACCATCCTCAAGCAGATGGCTAGACTAGACAACTTATCTAAGTGGTTGAGGAGATATTGTATTATAGCATTTCTAAGTAATAGGGGCAATTGGAAAAATACTTGTAAAGGTTGCCTACAATAAAAACCAATATAGTAGGACTTATACACAGAAGGCATCACAGAACAAGTTTTAACTTGGATTTGGTTTTGAATCAATATAGAAAAATTAAAAATTTAATCTATAGATTTCCAAGAGGAATTTGTAAGTACAATAAGCTCGAGGTACAAAACAGGAGAAATGATAAGTTCTTTCTATGTTATTCTAGTTTTTATCGATTTTTGGAATGAGATAGTACAATAGCATATTAAATAAAGTAGCTATTAAAGGTGAGAATCTATTATGTTTATCAGTTGAAAGTGTGTTTACAAGGAATGAACCGCAAATAGATTTTTTTTAGATGTTTCCAGAGGCTGAAGAGGATAAGCCATCAAGCCAGCCCAAGAAGGAGTGTTAATCACTACCATGTTATCTTTGTGAACAAGAATGAAGTTTTTATTATGCATAAGGGCTAATGATGTAATCCTCATTATCAAGTGAGGGCATCTAGTCAAGGCTTATGTGGGGAGAATGTCATGTCTTAGATGTCAACAGTGACCATGCACATTCATATAGTAGACAAATCCCTTTTGGTTCTTAAGTGAGTTTGGGATAATCACTACTTGAACAGTTAATCTCTTGGGTTAATGAGGCCAATAGATCTATGTATTCTTGAATTTGCAAGGAAATGTGAAATATGGCATCTTTTACAGAATATGATTATGCTTACGAGTTGGATATAAGAATCTACAGGTAGATTCCCAAAATTCTTGAATTAATGAGATCACAAAAAATTAAAAGCTTCACTTTAAGAAGAATAATTTCTTTTATTGGGTAATAAGAATATTGTTTTTGTGGTCCCTAAGAATATTATGGTTCATTTAGTTTTCATTCATTAATAACTATGACATTACATAGAAAGTAACACCAACTTTTGATTTATATATAGCGAGAAGTATTAATGGGAAAGGTATGGCACATATCACAAATATATGTTTGCTACTGCTAATAATACTTATAGCTTGTTTTAGTACTTATGGATTTAATTCAAGTGAATCTATGGATAAGATTGTTGGTACTAATAGGACTAAATTATGGATGAATATTACAGATACTATTTCTGTAGAACAAATTCCACATGTAGGACTTTTATTTTTATTGTTGTCATAATGTTTTTTTTGTTTTACAGGATATTTGTGGTAGATTTGAAGCAAGTTCCTCAAATATATTTTTAAGGGTATATAAAAATGTTAAAATTGTTATGCTCGTTGCTACTACAAAAACTGGGGATGGAGGATTTGGCATTGTTATGCTTGATCTTTCAAATGGTATATCAAATATTGATGGAAGGCTAAATAGAGGAGCTGATTTTACCATATCTTGTGATATAAACTCCATTACATTAATTGGTTCTATTTTATATGCAAGCTGTCCAACTCCAAAACACTATCCTAAGACATCATTTATAAATTTGAACTTTCTGGTAAAAAATCATTTTGGGTCTTTATTCTTTTGCCCTCCACCTTCTTCAAGAACTGATTTGGTATGACTTGAATATATTAATAAAATAAAATACTAAAATAAATAATCAGATGGAAATTTTTAATGATACAATTAAAGGCTTTAAAAGACAATTTTAAATTGTAGTATAATTTTCTAAATGTTTTATTATTATTTGTACACGTTTTAAATCATTTGGCACCCAACTGAGCAATTTAAAATAAACAAGCATGTTGTCCTACCTATTTCCAGAAGCTATATATTATATATATGATTTAATAGGCCTTATGCTTATAGAATGTATACATTTCAAAGGATAAGTTTGTGTACATGTATACATGTTTAATATGAGCTTATAAAAAAGATGTTTTGACGGACTATACAAAGATAATCTAGACCTTAAGCCTCCCAAACACTTTGAACACAATGTCAATAAAATATTGAAAAAATTATATTCAATTTAAATAATAAATCTTTCATTTATATTTTAGATAGAATATGAGTAAACTTCCAGCAATGAAGGCCTTGAATAAGTCAAGGCCTTTTAAAAAATTATCGTATAGAAACACTCCATGAAACTGTCACTGAGAGATTGAGAGCTTTCAGCTATGCTTTGGTCCTGGAAGTTGGGACAACACTATCCATATCTCCACTGCTCAACAACAAAAGTTCAATTAATTATAAAAAGTTTGAAAGAGATGAAATGACTCTCTTGCCTAAAGTTCTAGATTTTCAGGTGGCTCATGAGCAGCTTCTTATAGCGGCAGCATCTATGCTGCAACGTCCTTTTGACTATATGGAATACTATATAAACAAATCTAAACTTTAGTACCAAAGCAAAAGGCAAGATTGACATAAAGACTTACTTGGCGCAGCTCAACCACCATTTTGGGTGGCAGGTGTGAAGGGCAATTTTTACAGCCTCCCTGTTAAGGTAGAAATCAATGGGGTCTGTGCACTGAAAGTTCTCCCCAAAACCAATCTTATTTTGATGCAACTGTTGTGACCTTAAATGTAAAAATGTAGGAAAATTTTCAGTCTGGTTTTGCATACCTTGTTCAGAGTGAACTGATGTGAGCTTTTGACACAGTCCTGGAGATTGTCCTCCAGAATGTTGTATAGATTTATATTTCCTTGCTCGAATCAACACTTTGTTCTACATTATCATAAGATTTCGTGTCGTGACAATCCATGGCCTTCTATGTTTCCTCCGAGATCACTGAGTGGTTTCGTGTCGTGACAATCCATGGCCTTCTATGTTTCCTCCGAGATCACTGAGTGGGTATATTAAAACTCATACATGCTAGGACCATCAATTTGTTGAATGAGTCCACACATTTCCAATCTATACAGCCCAAAAACAATTATAAAAGAAGTTGATAACTATCATTTGGCACTTACAGCAATTCCCTTAAGGTTGATATAGGTGCTTGGTTTTAGCCAAAATCTCCAGTGCCAAAAGTTGGAATATAAAGACCTACAGAATGAATAATCAACCAAATTTGACAACTTCATAAGGAAAGAAACCTGCATAGCTTTCCCATGTAAAAATCGTTGTCTCTATTGGATGCACTAATATTAATAACTAGCTTCTTTAACTATCTTTGCACCTTTTTGTATAAAAGTGCTATTAAATGTGTCTATCTTCCTCCATTGAGCAAGAGCAAGTGGAGAACATTCGGCCTCATAGAACCAGTAGAAGAGACCACACCCCTCTTCCAGCATACTGATTAAGGCTGACCATGGGCTGACCAGGAAGCCAATCGACTATCTGTGTGGCAACCCAAACTGAAGGAGACATAGAGGCAGCAAAACCAGAACTTACTCAAGTGCCATTGTGAAATAAAGCCCTTGAAATGAGCCATCTTTTTAATCTACAGGTTTCATATTTAGCTTTCAAGTTAATGCATTGGCAAGCAGCACGTATACCGCTCCATCTGAGGAACTTGATCTTAAAGCATGCTTGCCTCTGGTGATTAACATCGAGCTGGAGTTTCTTTCACGTAGCAAGCACGACCATTCCAAGTTACTGGGCTCAAAAGGCATGGCCAACACAAGTTCCTCGGCCTCCAAACTTCTCCCAGATCGAACGAGCAAATCCACCATGCAACAGTAGTGCTGCTTTGATGGCGCCACTTCATAGTCGGCCACCATGGAACCAAAGCAAGACTTGGCTCTGGAGATGCAGCCTTGCTGCCCAAACGAAACCATAGCCGAGAAGAAGCAAGCTTCGTCGGGACAATGCAAAGCTTTCATCTCGTCAAAGAGCTCGAGAGCACGGGAAGAGGACAAGTTTCTCACGTGGGCAGCGAGCATGGCGCTCCATGATACCACTCCTTGCTCGGGCATGGCATCGAAAATCTTCCTTGCGGAGCTCAAATGGCCGTGCTGAGCATACATGCAAAGGATGGCATTCCACGAGACGGAGTTTTGCTCGGACATGTCGAGAAAGACGAGCTTTGCTTGCGAGAAGTAGCCACTTATTGTGTAAGCCGTGAGCATTGAGGTCCAGGAGACCAAGTTTCTCTCGGCCATGGAATCAAAGAGAAACTTTGCTTGCTCGACTCGGCCGTGTTGGGAGTAAGCCCCGATCATGGCGTTCCAAGCGACCAGATCACGCTGCGGCATGGAGTTGAAGATGGCCTCGGCTCTCTCGAGCTCGCAGTTTTGAGCGTAGGCCGATTGCATTACGGTGTAGGCCACGAGATCCCGCTGTGGCATCCGCGAGAACAAATTGCTGGCTTCAAAGAGGCAACCGTTGTGGATGAAAGCTTCCAGCATGTTTGTGTAAGTGATTATATCCCTCTCGAGCATTGTGTCAAAGGTTAGCATGGCTTCGAGAAGATTCCCCTTTCGGGCATATGCGGAAAGTACTGAGTTACAGGCAAACAGATTCCAGCAGGGCATTTCGTTAAAACATTTTCTAGTCATTTGAAGATCTTCCTCCATGATTAGTGCGTTTAAGAATGATGTCCAAGAGATCAGATTTCGAGCAGGCATTGAGTGAAATGTCTGTCTTGCTTGTACAAGATCCCGACCTGTGGCATATGCAAACAGCATGGCATTCCAGCATGGTAGAGTTTTAAAAAGCATGTCATCAAAGATCCCCTTTGCAGTATCCAAATGCCCTCTTTGCGAGTGTGCAGCTATGAGCGTGTTGCATGACACGGCATCATGAAATGGCATCTCTTGAAACAAAACTTCTGCCTCGTCCAGATACCCATTCTTGGCATATGCTGCCACCATAGTGTTCCAGCTTGTAAGATTCTTCTCGGGTATGGAATCAAAAATGGCTTTTGCATTGGAAACTTGCCCACTGCGAGAGTAGCCGCAGATCATAAGAACCAGCGAGAAAACATCCTTGTTCTCGATGCGATCAAAGACGCTTCGGGCATTTACGAGGCTGCCAAATTGGTTAAACAGTGCGAGGAGATTGTTGGAGACAAAGAGGCTCTCGTGTGGTGGGAGTGGTGGATTCGCCTGGATGCATTTGTGGATCTCCTGGGCCATTGGGAGGCTTTTGCACGATCGAATGAGCTCCACGCACTGGGCTTTGTCCATGGCAACATAGTTACAATGTGGAATAAAAATTAAACGTTAGCTACGGGATTCGAACCGGAGCAAGGAATGGAGCATATTCGAACGATTACTTAACGAGAGTTTAGGGTTCTATAGAGAGTGTAGAGCTCCGCGACGCAATGCGGAGGCTCCGGGCTGTCGATCTGCGCGATCCGTGAGGCGCAGGATGCCGCTGCTGGCCTGCGCGAGCGAGCAGAGGCAAGGCTTCTCTATGGAGGATGATTCCGAGATTTACAGGGTCCGGAGCGAGTGTCAGGATGTGGCGACGAGCTCCGTGCCGGTTTGTGACGGATTCTCGGCTGGATTTGTGTCGATCTGAGCTGTGGTTTGATCGATTTAGAGGCGGAGGCGGAGGAAGCTCTCGGCGGAGAAATGGCGGGCTGCGTTTGACGCGCAAGGGCGGCTCAATGTGAAGCGAGTTCTTCGGCACATCGAAAGAGGGGTAAATCTTGTGCTGCATTTCCAGTAGCGAAGTCTCTTCTTCTTTCCTGTAGGGCGTTGCGTCGGAGATTCGCGCTCACGTCTGGGAGTTTCTTTTGGGTGTTTACTCCCCCGGCAGCAATGCTGCCGAAAGGGAAGAGCTTCGTCAATCGCGACGGTAGATACTTTGGCTTGTTTTATCGATTGGATTTGATCTGCGAGAGAAACCGCGTTGGTTTTTACAGTGACAAATACTTGAAGCTCAAGGCCGAGTGTAAGAGAATGGATGCGGCCGTTGGAAGTGGCGAAGTTGTGATATCGCCGCGAATGAATGCCGACGGAGTTTCCATGGAGGAGAATAATCCAGGTGGTTACTTCTTTGTTTGCTTCGGGCTTTTCACTTTCTGTCCAAGTATTAGCAGAATCCATTGAAGAGCAGACAATAAATGGAGTGCTGGATCCATCGCCGAGCGCAAAGATTGTCCAGTGGAAAGTTCTCCTCCACCAGATTGGTATGATTATTTTTCTGTTTCGCGTGCTCACTTTCGCTTTGCAGGACTGGATGTAGTTCGCACGGATAGAGTTTTAGAGTTTTACGAGGATCCCAAGAACTTGGGAAAGCTCTGGGACATCCTGGCAGTGTACGCTTGGATCGACGAGGAGGTTGGCTACTGTCAAGGTATGAGCGATCTTTGCTCGCCGATGGTGCTCCTTTTCCCGGACGAGGCTGACGCCTTTTGGTGCTTCAAGTGCCTGATGCGTCGAGTGGTACGTTTTTTGCAAAGCGCTTCTCAAGATTTTATATCGCTTAGTACCGTTCATTGAAGTTTATCACGTTTGATGTTGGCAAGCGGGAAAATTTCAGGTGCACGAATAAGATGATGGGGGTTCAGAAGGAGCTCTCCTTCCTCGCAGCTGCCATGCGAGTAATCGATCCAAAGCTTCATAGAACTCTAGGTGAGGATTTCGAAGATGAAGGTCTTTGCCGACCTTTTTTTGTAGAGGCACTTGGAGGGAGCAACTATATTTTTGCGTTTCGAATGCTCATGGTTAACTTTCGCCGGGAGTTTTCGTTCGTTGATACGCTCACCCTCTGGGAGGTAAGTCCAACCGTTGTGAAATGTTTATGTTCTTTCGCCCACGCGAGCTTTTCTTTCTTTGTAGATGATGTGGGCTTTCGAGTACCATCCCGACCTTCAAATTCTCTACATGGAGTCCCCGGATGGTCACATTGACAACGCACAGCCGGACTATAGAGCTGGAGGTAGATTTGCAAAGCGGAACATTAAGTATGGATCGCCAAGAGCCCTCAACGAGCATCCGTCCCTGGCAGTTTTCTTTGTAGCCGGGATCTTGGTGCTGCTACGATCCAAGTTTATAAAGAGAATTCAAGGCCTGGACGAAGTCGTGAGGGTGAGGAACAGTTTAATGCTTTCCTTTTTTCCTCATTTTCCCTGGTAACAATATACGTCGCAGGCTTTGAACGATATGAGCGGCAAGATAGACGCATACCGAGCGTGCCAAAAAGCGCTCAAGTTCCATAAGTTATACCTGAAGAAGGTACTGAATGTTCGCTTCTTTCTCTTTGTTTGATCTTTTTTTCTTTCCACAGGTGAAGAAATCGAACACATAGTAACAAGTATCTAAAATAAGTGAAATGAAACTTTGACAGAAACAAAGGTCGGGGCAAATCTCGTATCTAATTCTGTTACGGGGTGTCGACTGGTTCTCGCAAGCATTTATACCTCGGAAGAAATTTATCCTTGTTTGCCTTGTAGCCGCTCTCTAAGAGAACTCTATTCCACAATCTATTTTCGATTAGCGTTGGAACTATCCAAAGAGATAAACGAACAACGATAAACGTCTTTATTTTCGATCTCACACTCACAAGGGATTACCACTCAAGGTAATTTTGTGTAGTTGCTTCGATCATGCATTCCATTTCCTGGCAGGCTTGGAGCTTAATACCACACGAGATGAGAAGTAGGAAGCCAGTGACAGACCTCTACCACGCTGGGCCTGGTGTTGAGAATCTTAAAAGAGATGTGAGAAGGTTCGAAATCATAAGACAAACTTTCACCGTGGCAGGCTTCGTCTTCTTGGAAGAACTTCTCCCGTATCGTGTGCCACATGAAGATGGCGAATGGGAAAGTCATGGGGTGACAGGCGATGCAGCCACCACCTTCGTCTCCACCAACTCGAGCTTGGGAAGGGTCGAAGTGGACTTTGTGGAGACGTGATAAGACTTGATCTGGTGCTTGATCCCGGCGACTTGGGACATCGCCAAATCAAAAAGGCAAAGTAATGACGTCATCATTTGGTTGTGTTAAGAAAAATGAAAGTCCGTGGGATAATATTCTTTAGGATTTTTCAGAAATGGTTGCCCTCAGGGTTTGAAGAATGTCCAAGTTTTAAAATCACTCTCTCAAGCGTGCATTCTTACCTTCAAATGTGCAAAAACCTATTATCCCCACAGAGTTGTGCAAAGTGGAAAAATCTTTGGGTCCAATGTACAAAAAATTATTCACTTTCGCTGAATCTGGCTGGTGAAAGAGCTGATGAAGGGAGTGATGTTCATCACCACACAATAGACCGGCGGCTTTGCACGACTCACGTCACATCCTGCGGGAAGCTTTGATTTCTTGCCTGGTAGCCAGAGCTGAAACGTCGTAAGGGTCTCATGGATTGAGGGTGGAAGCTGGAATCTCGTGAACAATCGTTTTGATTTGATTGTAAGAGTTGTCAATCTTAAGACACATAATACGAGAACCAAACACCGTGAGTCCAAGTCTATAGTTAAAGTAGAAATATACCAAACAAGTAGAGCACGAGTAGACGTCGTTGTTAAACTTTGTCTGCAAAATTGTCATTGAAAACTTGCTGGAAAGTGATGCTTCACATGGATGATTGAATGACACCAGTTGCGCTTATGCTAGAAGACAAGGATCTCTTAATTTACAGCGTTAATATTCTGCAAAGTTAAGACCTGCAAAGTTGAGATCTGAAAAGTTGAGACCTGCAAAGTTGAGACCTGCAAAGTTGAGAGTTGCAAAGTTGAAACCTGCAAAGTTGAGATCTGCAAAGTTGAGACCTGCAAGGTTGAAATCTGTTGAGCTTTTAAAAAGTTGATGTTCTGCAAAGTTGAGAAACGTGTACAATATATTAAGGCTTTCTTGGTGTACATTGAAGTTGTTGCTAGAAATCAAGGACTGAGATTGCACTGTAATGAACCAAACCATGGTTCTTTTATCAAAATGTTACGTTCCCAAAGCCTGAGTCTTTCTTCTGGCTTTATTCCGGTATGGAAGGATGGCAAGCAGCCAAATCCCAATTCTTTCTTTGGGAAGCATCACAATATAATGCTATTAGCCAGGAGCTTTGGATAACAATCTGGCTCCAAACTATGGTGTCCACGGATGTCCCTCAAGCTCGACCCCGTACAAAAATGTGAATTACTGTGGCCCTCCCTCCTTTGTGGTCCTCATGAGAGATCTAGTGGACGCTCAGCTTGGAGTCGATCACGTCTTCTTTCTTGCGCTGCGAAGAAGATCCTCAGTCTCAAGCTGGCTCATTAAAAGACGTTTGAGGCATGGAGTGCCACACAATCGTTATTCTCCTTGTGATCAAACTTTACTATACATTCACTCTAGCATTCAGGCTTGGAGCTTAATACCACACGAGATGAGAAGTAGGAAGCCAGTGACAAACCTCTCCCTCGCCGGGCCTGGTGTTAAGAATCTTAAAAGAGATATGAGAAGGCGCGAAATCAGAGGTATCCATATGGCAAACCGCAGGAACTTTCACCATGGCAGGCTTCGTCTTCTTGGAAGAACTTCTCAGTAGATCCACCTCCAACACGAGACTGTTCGGTATTGTGTGGCACATGAAGATGGCGAATGGGAAAGTCATGGGGTGACAGGCCAGAGATCCATCTGCAGCCACCACCCTCGTCTCTACCACCTGGAATGGTTCGTTCGGATCAAACTCCAGAGTGTTGGCCACATACTTCAACTCGAGCTTGTGGAGGGTCGAAGAGGCCTGATCCAGGATGGACTTTGCCGAGACGTGACAAGCCTTGATCTCGTGCTTGATCCCCCCGTGGGAGGAGCACATTTCCAGGCTATCCTTGCTCGTCGCTGCGAATGGAGACTGGCTCGAGAAGTGCATGGTGGACAGGAGCTGGGACAGATTCATGGACGCAAGCACAGGCTCTAGTAGCGGATGAAGGAATTTACTCACAGGGATGGAGTTGTCCCAGCGCAGTGGCGGTGGCAACTGTATGTTCTTGGCACCAACAAGCGTCTTGAGCTGAAAGAAGGTCCTCTGGGCGAGATCTCGAGTGGAGGATTCCATGGCGCTCCTGTCGTGATGGTCATGGTGGTGGTGAAAAAGCTGACGAAGGGAGTGATGTTCATCACCGCACAAGAGACCAGCGGCTTTGCACGACTCGTGTGATATCCTGCTGGAAGCTTGGAGTTCCTGCTTGATGTGCAGCGCTGAAGCGTCGTCAAGGGGCGATAGCCTCTCACGAATGGAGCGTGGAAGTTGGAATCCCTCCAAGTATCCCTGGCGGAGAGCACAATCAGTTGGATTTGATTCGAAGAGTTATGAAATTCGTGAAGCTTACCACACATAATGCCAGGAACATGAGAACCAACAAAGTGTCCGCCATGAGTTCTGGAATTGCAAAGTCTATAATTATAATATGAACTTGTGTTGGTGTGATGTTTCACTTGTTCAGTATTTTTCTATGTATAAGAGATAAGGACGAACTTAAATTTTCATTGAAAACTTGCTGGAAAGTGACGTCTGACCAAGAAGATCCTGATCTTTTACTATACAGCGTTGATATTTTGATAGCTCTAATGTATTAAGATAATAAGAATACGAAGTTTAAAGTAGAGCCTTACTATAAAAGGACATCCAAGAACACCACATTTTCATAGAAACCATGGCGTGGCTCATTACAGTCCTCTTGTGTTTCACGGTGAGATCAATCTCTGCTTCTAAGTTTTCTGAATGATATATGTACTTCAGGCAGCTGCAGCACTACGTACACTCAAGGACAATGAAAAGCAAGTGCCTGGAGAGGTAATGTACACCAATGAAGCAAAGCAGGCAAATCCCGAGTCCATCCTCTTGTATAACAAGGAAACGAAGCGGGCAAATCCCGAGTCCATCCTCTTGTATGACAAGGAAGCGAAGCAGGCAAATCCCGAGTCGTTCTTCTTGTATAACAAGGAAGCGAAGCAGGCAAATCCCGAGTCCATCCTCTTGTATGACAAGGAAGCGAAGCAGGCAAATCCCGAGTCCATCCTCTTGTATGACAAGGAAGCGAAGCAGGCAAATCCCGAGTCCATCCTCTTGTATAACAAGGAAGCGAAGCAGGCAAATCCCGAGTCCATCCTCTTGTATCACAAGGAAGCGAAGCAGGCAAATCCCGAGTCCATCCTCTTGTATAACATGGAAGCGAAGCAGGCAAATCCCCAATCCTTCCTCGAAAGTGACGTTTGACTAAGAACTAGGAGACAAAGATCTCTTGCGTTCATATTTTGCAAATCTCTAATGTATTGAGATAATAAAATACAATAAAAAAAATAAAACCCTTTCGAATCAGAAAAATGTCCTTCTAACCTTTAAACATAATTCAGTTTAAATTAACCATGTTACCCCAGCATGTCATTGATTGGTTTTATAAACAGAATCAAGCTTATATTTTATTTGTAAGCATTCAAATAATACCCTATAATCTCACAAGGAAACATTTCTATCTATCTCTAATCTCATTCTTCATATATAAATATGTAGACATCTTTATGTAGAAAGTAAAATTTTTCTTAGGAGCAAACGAACCATAAACTTTAGCACAATTTTAAAATCAAATAATTTAATTAACAAAAAGAGGCATTAGTAAACCACTGTGACATATCAAAAACTAAATTGCATAAAAAATAATAAAAATGAAAGCAAACCACGTTCACAACAAAATATTAATACTATTTAGCATATGTAAAGTAGCACCTAATGACTTGTTTAGATTGAGCAATTGCTTACTATTGGACATTAATGTTAAAATGCTAACCATTGTGTATTAGGAGAAATGATGGGGAATGGTGTCTCCCTTGTGAGAGTTCTCCTCCATTGAGGTTGTTACAGATTTGTCAATGTGGATCCTTTTAACTTAAAGGATAATATGAATTTTGTATGTAAAAAGTGTGAGTTGCAATTCATGGTATAGGGAGCCAAGTCCACACTGTTGACAGAATATTCTGTCAAATGTAAAATACACTGAACTTTTTCTTAATTTTTAAATTTTTTATTAGGGCTTGGTGGCGCAATAGCCGAATAGACGGGCACCGTTGGGGGCCAAATAGCCGGGGCTCTAGCGCACGCCACCTGGGCCTAAAATGCCCACCGGCGCCATTAGGCCCTAAATGGCATTAAAGTGTTGCATTTAGCCACAACCAATGCAAATGCTTGGGGTGTAAAAGGGGCGCTACAAAACTTCCTCGTAGCGGTTTTATGAATCCAAAAAGATGGCAAAGTTGCCTTTTTAATAAATAAAATTAACATTAAACACTGATTAGAAACAAAGATTAAGAGTGACATTTCTTAAACTTCTTTCTTGATATTTAAGAAAAATTAATAAAATAGTAATCTATAATAATAAAAATAAAGAACCCAGCCCCGATCTCAAGCCTGGGGCAGGGTGGGTAGTGATAATTGAAATATGGGTTTGAGGGCTGTGGTGTGCATGTGAGAAAGGCTCCATTGTGGTACAAGAGCAAAAGGTGTGTATTCGTTTTTCTATGCGTACATTACCTTGTTGCTAGAAATCAAGGACTGAGATTGCAGTGTGGCCCCTTTGTCCTTGAGCATTTGAAGTGCTGTAGATGCCTGAAGTACATATATCATTCAGACAAGTTAGAACATGGCACGGAAGCCAATCCCAATGCTTTGTTCTGGTATGAGCAGCCAAATCCCGATTCTTTCTTTTGGTATAGGAGCAAAAGCTTATCATAAATGAGGGTATAAACGGATTTACTTTGATGATTATTAACCAAGAGCTTTGGTGTCCACGGATGGATTGGAGGTGCCAGCATTCCTAGGCTTTGTTCATTGCCACCACTTCGCTGGGATGGCCCTCCTTTGTGGTAGAGATCTAGTGGACGCTCAAGTTTTTGAAACAAGGAAGCAAGCACTAATATTAATAACTAGCTTCTTTGCATCTTTTTGTATAAAGGTGCTAGTATTACTAGTATAGATGCGTCTATCTTGAACAAAAACCTCCATTGAGCAAGAGCAAGCGGAGAAGCATTGGGGTCATCAGCCTCATAGAACGACCACAGCCCTCTTCCGTGTGGCAACCCAAACTGGAGGAGACATAGAGGCACAATAGCAAAACTTGAAATGAGCCATCTTTTTAATGTACAGGTTTCATATTAGCTTTCAAGTTAATGCATTGGCAAGCAGCACGTAAACCGCTCCATCCGAGGAACTTGATCTTGCCTCTGGTGATTAACATCGAACTGGAGTTTCTTTCACGCAGCAAGCACGACCATTCCAAGTTACTGGGCTTAAAAGGCATGGCAAACACAAGTTCCTCGGCCTCCAAACTTCTCCCAGATCGAACGAGCAAATCCACCATGCAAGAGTAGTGCTGCTTTGATGGCGCCACTTCATATCGGCCACCATGGAACCAAAGCAAGACTTGGCTCTGGAGATGCAGCGTTGCTGTCCAAACGAAACCATAGCTGAGAAGAAGCTAGCTTCGTCGGGACAATGCAAAGCTTTCATCTCGTCAAAGAGCTCGAGAGCACGGGAAGAGGACAAGTTTCTTACGTGGGCAGCGAGCATGGCGCTCCATGATACCACTCCTTGCTCGGGCATGGCATCGAAAATCTTCCTTGCGGAGCTCAAATGGCCGTGCTGAGCATACATGCAAAGGATGGCATTCCACGAGACGGAGTTTTGCTCTGCTTGCGAGAAGTAGCCACTTATTGTGTAAGCCGTGAGCATTGAGGTCCAGAAGACCAAGTTTCTCTCGGCCATGGAATCAAAGAGAAACTTTGCTTGCTCGACTCGGCCGTGTTGGGAGTAAGCCCCGGATCATGGCGTTCCAAGCGACCAGATCACGCTGCGGCATGGAGTTGAAGATGGCCTCGGCTCTCTCGAGCTCGCCCTTTTGAGCATAGGCCGATTCCATTACGGTGTAGGCCACAAGATCCCGCTATGGCATCCGCGAGAACAAATTGCTGGCTTCAAAGAGGCAACCGTTGTGGATGAAAGCTTCCAGCATGTTTGTGTAAGTGATTATATCCCTCTCGAGCATTGTGTCAAAGGTTAGCATGGCTTCGAGAAGATTCCCCTTTCGGGCATATGCGGAAAGTACTGAGTTACAGGCAAACAGATTCCAGCAGGGCATTTCGCTAAAACACTTCTAGTCATTTGAAGATCATCCTCCATGATTAGTGCGTTTAAGAATAATGTCCAAGAGATCAGATTTCGAGCAGGCATCGAGTGAAATGTCTGTCTTGCTTGTACAAGATGCCAGCCTGTGGCATATGCAGACAGCATGGCATTCCAGCATGGTAGAGTTTTAAAAAGCATGTCATCAAAGATCTCATTCGCAGTATCCAAATTCCCTCTTTGCGAGTGTGCAGCTATGAGCGTGTTGCATGACACGGCATCGTGAAACGGCATCTCTTGAAACAGTAGTTCTGCCTCGTCCATATACCCATTCTTGGCATATGCTGCCATCATAGCGTTCCAGCTTGTAAGATTCTTTTCGGGCATGGAATCAAAGATGGCTTTTGCATTGGAAACTTGCCCGCTGCGAGAGTAGCCGCAGAGCATAAGAACCAGCGAGAAAACATCCTTGTTCTCGATGCGATCAAACACGCTTCGGGCATTTACGAGACTGCCAAACTGGTTAAACAGTAGACAAAGAGGCTCTCGTGGAGTGGTGGATTCGCCTGGATGCGTTTGTGGATCTCCTGGGCCATTGGGAGGCTTTTGCACGATCGAATGAGCTCCACGCACTGGGCTTTGTCCATGGCAATATAGTTACAATGTGGAATTAAAATTAAACGTTAGCTACGCGATTCGAACTGGAGCAAAGAATGGAGCATATTCGTACGATTACTTAACGAGAGTTTAGAGCGTGTAGAGTGTGTAAACGAATGGATGCGGCCGTTGGAAGTGGTGAAGTTGTGATATCGCCGCGAATGAATGCCGACGGAGTTTCCATGGAGGAGAATAACCCAGGTGGTTACTTCTTTGTTTGCTTCGGGCTTTTCACTTTCTGTCCAAGTATTAGCAGAATCCATTGAAGAGCAGACAATAAATGGAGTGCTGGATCCATCGCCGAGCGCAAAGATTGTCCAGTGGAAAGTCCTCCTCCACCAGATTGGTATGATTATTTTTCATAACTTTCGCTTTGCAGGACTGGATGTAGTTCGCACGGATAGAGTTTTAGAGTTTTACGAGGATCCCAAGAACTTGGGAAAGCTCTGGGACATCCTGGCAGTGTACGCTTGGATCGACGAGGAGGTTGGCTACTGTCAAGGTATGAGCGATCTTTGCTCGCCGATGGTGCTCCTTTTCCCGGACGAGGCTGACGCCTTTTGGTGCTTCAAGTGCCTGATGCGTCGAGTGGTACGTTTTCTGCAAAGCGCTTCTCAAGATTTTATATCGCTTAGTACCAAGTTTATCACGTTTGATGTTGGCAAGCGGGAAAATTTCAGGTGCACGAATAAGATGATGGGGGTTCAGAAGGAGCTCTCCTTCCTCGCAGCTGCCATGCGAGTAATCGATCCAAAGCTTCATAGAACTCTAGGTGAGGATTTCGAAGATGAAGGTCTTTGCCGACCTTTTTTTGTAGAGGCACTTGGAGGGAGCAACTATGTTTTTGCGTTTCGAATGCTCATGGTTAACTTTCGCCGGGAGTTTTCGGTCGTTGATACGCTCAGCCTCTGGAAGGTAAGTCCAACCGTTGTGAAATGTTGATGTTCTTTCGCCCACGCGAGTTTTTCTTTCTTTGTAGATGATGTGGGCTTTCGAGTTCAAATTCTCTACATGGAGTCCCCAGATGGTCACATTGACAACGTACAGCCGGACTATAGAGCTGGAGGTAGATTTGCAAAGCGGAACATTAAGTATGGATCGCCAAGAGCCCTCAACGAGCATCCGTCCCTGGCAGTTTTCTTTGTAGCCGGGATCTTGGTGCTGCTACGATCCAAGTTTATAAAGAGAATTCAAGGCCTGGACGAAGTCGTGAGGGTGAGGAAAAGTTTAATGCTTTTCCTTTTTTTCCTCATTTTCCCTGGTAACAATATGCGTCGCAGGCTCTGAACAATATGAGCGGCAAGATAGACGCATACCGAGCGTGCCAAAAAGCGCTCAAGTTCCATAAGTTATACCTGAAGAAGGTACTGAATGTTCGCTTCTTTCTCTTTGTTTGATCTTTTTTTTCTTTCCACAGGTGAAGAAATCAAACACGTAAGTATCTAAAATAAGTGAAATGAAACTTTGACAGAAACAACGTATCTAATTCTGTTACGGGGTGTCGACTGGTTCGCGCAAGCATTTATACCTCTTGGAAGAAATTTATCCTTGTTTGCCTTGTAGCCGCTCTCTAAGAGAACTCTATTCCACAATCTATTTTCGATTAGCGTTGGAACTATCCAAAGAGATAAACGAACAACGACGTCTTTATTTTCCTTGTGATCGATCTCACACGCACAAGGGATTACCGCTCAAGGTAATTTTATGTAGTTGCTTCGATCATGCATTCCATTTCCTGGCAGGCTTGGAGCTTAATACCACACGAGATGAGAAGTACCTCGCCGGGCCAGAATCTTAAAAGAGATGTGAGAAGGTTCGAAATCATAAGACAAACCACTGGAGCTTTCACCGTGGCAGGCTTCGTCTTCTTGGAAGAACTTCTCCCGTATCGTGTGCCACATGAAGATGGTGAATGGGAAAGTATGGGGTGACAGGCGATGCAGCCACCACCACCTAGAATAATTCGTTTGGAGTGTCCAACTCGAGCTTGGGAGGGTCGAAGTGGACTTTGTGGAGACGTGATAAGACTTGATCTGGTGCTTGATCCCGGCGACTTGGGACATCGCCAGGTTATCCTTGCACCAAACGTTCGTCCGGAATCAAAAAGGCGAAATAATGACGTCATCATTTGGTTCAATATTCTTTAGGATTTTTCAGAAATGGTTGCACTCGGGGTTTGAAGAATGTCCAAATTTTAAAATCACTCTCTCTTACCTTCAAATATGCAAAAACCTATTATCCCCACAGAGTTGTGCAAAGTGGAAAAATGTTTGGGTCCAATGTACAGAAAATGATTCACTTTCGCTGAATCGGTGAAAGAGCTGACAAAGGGAGTGATGTTCATCACTGCACAATAGACTGACTCACGTCACATCCTGCCGGAAGCTTCGATTTCTTGCTTGATAGCCAGAGCTGAAGCGTCATAGTGGAAGATGGAATCTCGTAAACAATCGTTTTGATTTGATTGTAAGAGTTGTCAATCTTAATACACATAATACGAGAACCAAACAAGTGTCCGGCGTTAGTCCAAGTCTATAGTTAAAGTAGAAATATACCAAAACAAGTACGACGTCATTGTTAAACTTTGTCTGCAAAAGTGTTATTGAAAACTTGCTGGAGAGTGATGTTTCACGTGGATGATTGAATGACACCAGTTGCGATTTATGCTAGAAGACAAGGATCTCTTAATTTACAGCGTTGTCTGCAAAGTTGATTTCTGATGAGATCTGTTGAGATTTTAAAACTTGATATTCTGCGAAGTTGAGATCTGCAAAGTTGAGATCTGTTGAGATTTTAAAAAGTTGATATTCTGCAAAGTTGAGATCTGCAAAGTTGAGAAAAGTGTATAATATATTAAGGCTCTCTTGGTGTACATTGAAGTTGTTGCTAGAAATCAAGGACTGAGATTGCACTGTAATGAACCAAGCCATGGTTTTTTTTATCAAAATGTTATGTTCCCAAAACCTGAGTCGTTCTTCTGGCATGGCAAGGAAGCCAAATCCTGAAGCTTTGTTCTGGTATGGAAGGATCCAAGCAGCCAAATCCCAATTCTTTCTTCTGGTAAAACCTGGGAAGAATCATAATATAATGCTATTAACCAGGAGCTTTTTATAACAATCTGGCTCCAAACTATGGTGTCCACGGATGTCCCCCAAGCTCGGCCCCATACAAAGATGTGGATTACTGTGGCCCTCCCTCCTTTGTGGTCCTCATGAGAGATCTAGTGGACGCTCAGCTTGGAGTCGATCACGTCTTCTTCTTTCGCTGCGAAGAAGATCCTCAGTCTCAAGCTGGCTCATTAAAAGACGGTTGAGGCATGGAGTGCCACATAATTCTTATTCTCCTTGTTATCAAACTTTACTATATATTCACTCTAGCATTCAGGCTTGGAGCTTAATACCACACGAGATGAGAAGTAGGAAGCCAGTGACAAACCTCTCCCTCGCCGGGCCTGGTGTTAAGAATCTTAAAAGAGATATGAGAAGGCGCGAAATCAGAGGTATCCATATGGCAAACCGCAGGAACTTTCACCATGGCAGGCTTCGTCTTCTTGGAAGAACTTCTCAGTAGATCCACCTCCAACACGAGACTGTTCGGTATTGTGTGGCACATGAAGATGGCGAATGGGAAAGTCATGGGGTGACAGGCCAGAGATCCATCTGCAGCCACCACCCTCGTCTCTACCACCTGGAATGGTTCGTTCGGATCAAACTCCAGAGTGTTGGCCACATACTTCAACTCGAGCTTGTGGAGGGTCGAAGAGGCCTGATCCAGGATGGACTTTGCCGAGACGTGACAAGCCTTGATCTCGTGCTTGATCCCCCCGTGGGAGGAGCACATTTCCAGGCTATCCTTGCTCGTCGCTGCGAATGGAGACTGGCTCGAGAAGTGCATGGTGGACAGGAGCTGGGACAGATTCATGGACGCAAGCACAGGCTCTAGTAGCGGATGAAGGAATTTACTCACAGGGATGGAGTTGTCCCAGCGCAGTGGCGGTGGCAACTGTATGTTCTTGGCACCAACAAGCGTCTTGAGCTGAAAGAAGGTCCTCTGGGCGAGATCTCGAGTGGAGGATTCCATGGCGCTCCTGTCGTGATGGTCATGGTGGTGGTGAAAAAGCTGACGAAGGGAGTGATGTTCATCACCGCACAAGAGACCAGCGGCTTTGCACGACTCGTGTGATATCCTGCTGGAAGCTTGGAGTTCCTGCTTGATGTGCAGCGCTGAAGCGTCGTCAAGGGGCGATAGCCTCTCACGAATGGAGCGTGGAAGTTGGAATCCCTCCAAGTATCCCTGGCGGAGAGCACAATCAGTTGGATTTGATTCGAAGAGTTATGAAATTCGTGAAGCTTATCACACATAATGCCAGGAACATGAGAACCAACAAAGTGTCCGCCATGAGTTCTGGAATTGCAAAGTCTATAATTATAATATGAACTCTTGTGGGTGTGATGTTTCCACTTGTTCAGTATTT